AGGCTTGTGGTTCTAATAGCTAGGTTCGCACTGATGAGAAATAAATAAGGATTGGGCGCTAATTATAAATCTTTCCCTGTCCGAGAGAGACAGACAGACAGACAGAGAGAGAGAGAGAGAGAGAGAGAGAGAGAGTCGCACCACAGAAGGGAGTTGGGAAAAAAATCCAGGTGAAACTTACTCAGCAATCTCGCGATACGCGTCACTACAGCGGAACGGAGGATTCCTGACACCACGTGCTTTTTTTCTCAATGAACCCTCTTGGTGCCGATTATGTACGTGAGTAACGTGACGTGCATTCATAACGGAGCTAATCAAATTAGAAAGTTAATCGAAGGGGAGCGACACCAGTTAATTCTGATTTCCCGACGGCGGAGACTTATTATCTTAACAACAAAGACAGAGTTAAAGTATAATAGTGGCAAAAATTCCTGCCCGCCCAGCGCGCGTACTTACGTGCACGCGATGTTAAATATAGCTCCGGTATATTAAAGAATCATATGGAAAAGAGAGGAAAGATATTTCCATGCGCGTGTTCGCCAATTGCAGATCTCGCAGACGCTATACCCTTTGAGGTAACTTCATTATTACTTCAATAGCGAGCTATTGAAGTAATCTCGGGGCATCTTTTTTGTACAGCAAAAAATTCTCCGACGGATTCGAATAACACGACAAATCGCTGAAATCAAACTTCAAGAAACGTCCTATTAAATTTCTATCTGCAGACATAATAAATTCTAAAAAACTTGTAAAAAAATAATTAAATTCTTTTATTTATTTCAATTATTTTCTTCTGTTATTCCTTGAAATTACTATTTGTTCTAATTATTTCAGAGATTAAATATATTATTTAAATCGCAATGTGATGTATAAGACTGTCTTGCATCATTCGCAGCTGCGCCGAAAAATGACACGAGACTATTTTCGCTATATATTGCGGTCGACGATCGATCAGCATTTTTTATGCGAAAGGACGCATGTGACGTGACGCGGAAAAAAATTTGCATGCCGTCGACACCTTGCAGCGCGACGCGCCGTCGAGAACTATCGAAAAGTCATCGGATCGACATTAGACGAGTGTTTGCAAGCGCAAACTGCGCCGCGCTTGTCGAACTTTGCGTGATCGATGGGCGTACGCTAAATTGTCTCCCCGGGTGCAACACCCCGTTGATACATACGAGAAATCGTTCTTCGCCATAGCTTTTCAACTAGCTTCAAGTAACGCTGTGACACTTCACCTCTAAAGGTTTAAGAAGTTTGTTGACGCAAACTTTTTGCTTCAAATTAAGTGACGGAGTAAGGTCTCTTTAATTTTTAGCACTCGAGAAACTACATGTATTCATTTGTTATTATCTTCCAAGAAAAAACTCAGCGACATTTTTAAAGGTATGAAATTTATGAAATAAAATATGATAGTATTTGTGGAGGATAAAAAATGTTTATGTTGAAATAACAAGCCACTTCCATTTATATTATCGAAATTACTAAAAAACAAGAGAATACTCCGTATTTATTCCTATCTGTTTCGCAACCTCGCGATCTCCCTTTCTCGCTTTATTCAGCGCGGTCTGCGCCCTTTTTAGAAAAGGGCGGAAAATCTGACTGTGTCCGATTCACCCCCTGGCGACTCTTGGCGCAGCGTAACATATGTTACGTGCGTGCGCGAGCGACGCGACACGCGTTCATGCAAACAGGGTTAAATAATACGCCCCGTGTAATTGCACACCGACATACTGTGCGTTGCTGCAATATGCCGAGGCGACATCACGGGGGTGGACGAGAAAAAAAAAGGAAAACGACTTTATTCTTCCATAGTCATTTCTCCTCTTTGACGTACTGATTTTGCATCGTTTCCCTAGCTTCAATTATCTAATTTCGATTTAGCGATTTCCTATCGCATTTCAAATTACCACGCTGGAGATATGATGCAGAGAAAGGAATCAGATCAAATCAATTAATACTTAGTATGTAGTTTATGTAACTCTTTGTAAGATCGCTTCTCATTGATTGAATTCGAAAATCCAACCACTCATCCATGAGCAAATTTTCTTCAGCCAAAAGGGAGAGAAAGAGTCAAGATTGACCATCATAGGTCGTTGTCGCGGAAGACGGCGGTCATCGGACAATAAAAATGTTATGACAGACTGAAGCGCTCGCGTGAGAGGGTTCCGTTTGGCGCGGCGAAGGGCGGACTATCAAGAAGTCAGCCCTGCAGCCCGAGCCGAGAAAAAGAGAAGGGGGTGGAAAAAAGAGCGAGCGAGAGCTGGTGGTTACGTGTAGCCCTGGTCTTGGGCGTGAGGGTGCGGTGAAATTGTAGCATCATCCAGCCAGGACTCCTCCAGCCGTGGCGGCAGCCGACCAGGGGCCGATGGTGGTTTACCGCTTGCCTGGGCGATGCTCTCCACGTCGGGCGCGCTGCATTATTGAGCCTGGGAAACGACCAGGTGGCCCGGGCGCCTATCGGGTCCGTGACGGGCGGCGGAGGGCGATTGTGGGAGGGCAGGCGAGAGGCGGTAGCCCTCAGGGCCTGCGAGGGGACGCAAAGTCACGGGAGAAAGAGGGTCCGCCGCCCGTCGCCCGACGTCGATGGGTCGCTCGGAGGACACGCGACCTCCTGGCTCCTCGACTTTGTGACCCGCGCGCAGGAGACGTATGCGACTCGACTTTCTCTCCTTCTCTCTCCCTCTCCTCCCCCCCCTTTCTCTCTCGTCGATTTCGTTCCAGCCATTACGGCGCATTCACCAAGGTACGCGTTCACTATAAACGCAAAATGGTTTCTTATGTTTCTTTCACGAGTTTAATAAGTACGACTGGTATCAGATTCGGATTAATGAAGAGCATATTCAATTCGTTCGCTAACGTTCAGAAAAATCCTCTCTCTCTCTCTCTTCCATTGACCGCAATTCCTTAATACTGAAATCACTTCTGTCAAGTTTGTGCTCGCGTACGCTTGTTTAAATAAAATATTAGAAATTTTGTGCTTGAGCAGCGCATTGCGTTTGATCGTCTGGGCTGTTGAATCGGAATTGTCCATTTAACACGGATGTTACAAAACTCGTTAAAATACAGCCGGCACGATGATCGATCAGCGCGAAATCGTCGGTCTCTCTCCGCGATGTTACTTCGCGTCGAGCTTAAAGCGGCCGCAGTCAGAGAGCGACGCGGAATCGACGATGTCGCTGGCGATGTTTAGCGATCCTCGCTGTCGCATTACGTCGTGTAGTATGCAAAGTGGCGCGTATCTCCTCTCCCCTTGGAGAAGGCCGAGGCGCGGTTATAGCAGCGAATTTACAGCGAGGAAATCGCACAAGGAAATCCCACGGCGGATAATGAGCAGAAGCGCTGGCTCTCCTTCGCGTATGCATTTCTCGTCGTATAGCGTATGCATAATGCAGAATGACGCTCGTAGTCGCGTCAGTGACTCATAGCGATATTGCCTGCGACGTAATACCGTCGTCACTTTAAAGCCTGGCACTCTCGAGGGGAAATATCGTGCCCTGGCTTCCACGCGGTGGCATTTTAGCGCGAGGTATTATGACTCTTCAACGTTCGCGCTCGATTTTGCATTTCAGCAAACCTTCTTCGAACCTATGTAGGAAGATTAATAAACGACACAACTAGCAAATTCTAATAAAAAAATTTATCGCGAAAATTATTACCTTAGCCGGGGTTTGAACCTCCCTACACTTTAGGCGGGCGTCTCACCATTTCGACCACTGAGGCATGTGGTATCAAGTCCTTGATTACTAATTGTCGGCCTCAAAATAGATTGCTAACTGTCTTTGTCCCCCCGAAAAGCCCCCGAGTAAGCGAGAAGGATTTCGAGTGGGGGCCTGGATAGCTCAGTTGGAAGAGCATTCGTCCGGCAGGCGGAAGGTCCCAGGTTCGAATCCTGGTCTGGTCCTAGTCAGTTATTTTTCTCGCCGAAAATTAATAAGTGCTACGTCTTAGTGCCCATCTCCCCGAAGATACACCCCTATTTATTACTATGGTAACATTTGTCGCAACAATCCAATGATGATATGTTCGCGACTACTTTTTGACCTTGAACTGCGTGCCGATTCGGGTTGTCGGCCTTAAGACACAGAACTATCGATGCGCGATTTAAAGTATCCTCTTCTTCGAACCACCCTAAACTAGAGTCAGCAGTCAGATCTTATATTCATGACTGTTTCAAGATCATCTTTAGATACTCCGTAGTTATATTATATTATGCACGAGATACGATTTTTTGGGCTGCTAAAATATCGGATTAGTTTAGCTAATATCATACTTCATGTTCCACTACCTCGTTGACGATAGAAAAATAAAATTGTTTTTGAAAAAGTTAAATGCGTTCTGTCAAATCTTCATTTTATCAATATTAACCCCTTGCCCTGTGACGTGGAGCAAACACAAGCATCTGATCACACGCTCGAACTTCCTTTGCGGGTTGCGTAAGAGTCAACGGTACCGCAATAAAAACTTTCGTACATTACTTATTATTTTATATAATTTAATTCTTTTATAAAACATCGAACGTGATTGCTTTGTGATAAATATATATTTTGACCCAAAATTTATAATAAAAAAGTAGAATTTTTGAGAGCCTGTAAAGATTTGGTTAACGATTTCTCTGGTCGGTATAATTTTTTGCCTAAAAATAAATATATCAAAAAATACATTATGTAATAATAATTCATGCAAAACAGTACGAAATTACAAGCGATACGATTTATAGGCTCACTCGTAGCAAAGCCTGCAAATGTGTACGTTTAAACACATCCGTAACTGATTGTGACCCACGAGACCAACTCGTGTTTGTTACATTTGGCTCCGTACCAAGAGAATAATATTTTTCATGTTTGATATCCGTAATCCGTGTCACGAGCCTCAACAAGATTATAAAGCAACGGGGGGTTAAATTAACTTGATTAACTACACAGGCTTTGATTCATGCGGGATACGCGAAATGTTCTACTTCAAAATTTAGAATTAAGCGTCAAACGTGCTAATTCTATGTCTACCATGAAATCGATTTTCATGCAAACAGGTTTGTCGGGAATGGAGGAAAACGGCCGCGGGGAAACGCTATGCAAGGTCTGTGGGGACAAGGCCTCCGGGAAGCATTACGGAGTGCCGAGTTGCGACGGATGTCGGGGTTTCTTCAAGCGGTCTATCCGCAGGTACGCGAGGTAATTAACTTCCCGTCTGACTATGAAACAATATTTGCGAGTGATCTGATCCAATAGATTTGTTAATTGCTCTGTCGTTTACTTTTTACAATTGTGCGCCGCGTTATCTTCGTTTCTCGGGAGATTTCCCAGTGGCGCTCGTATAAAGAGAGTTTTGAAATTCTATGTGCGCAGGAATTTGGATTACGTGTGCAAAGAGAACGGGCGCTGCGTCGTGGATGTATCGCGGCGCAACCAGTGCCAAGCCTGCCGTTTCACCAAGTGTCTTCAGGTGAACATGAAACGAGACGGTACGTTCTGTCAGTGATTAACGCGGTTCTGAGGTTATCGATCATTCACGTTCGCCGGGCAATCGCAGAGATCATCTGAGATCAATATGTATTTAACGCTACATCTCTGCCCTGCAATATCGCGATGGATTCTAAAATACATGTATTATATGGAATATGCATATTCCAGTCCTGAGCGCTTGACCGTCGTGCCTAAGTCCGCTTCTAATAATGCGTATTTGTCCACCGATACCCCTTTTCTTAAAGAAAGAGATATAGAGATTGCGGTACCTCCCGATTGCTAAGGCCACCGAGCGGCACTCGACATGTTTGCACGGAAATATCCAGCGGAGTGTGGAGAGTAAGCGAGAAATGTACATTCCATTTTTCTGACAGTCGCAGAACTTCCTGGAACCCGAGGTCGAGTTTTAACGGAAAAGTGTCTCAGCGTTTGATTGCAGCGCGAGATCATCGCGTTCCTCTCGTTTCTTAATTTCGAAACGACTTACAAGTCTTCGAGTATACCACTATTTTTTAAATTACGCTAATCTCGGAAATGTGTTGAACAAAACACTCGTCGATTTGTTTACGTTGCGCAAGAAGAACCGATAAAGGAATATCCGTTGGTGATGAAGAAACAAGATGCTTATTATATTATCTTCTTAAAAACAAGGTCTTTTAATCTGCTCCGACGATTGAAATAAATTACATTATTCACGTAGATATTAGGGATATCGATTGCCTCCTGTTCCGCCCTACGTGCAGGATAAGCTTCGTATACTATATTGATACGTGGAAGCTGCGCTCCAATGTAACGCGGAGCTTTTAGATGCGCTCGGTATAGAATAGAATACATCCGCAAAGTGCGGCGAGTTGGATATTACAATGCACGATGACGCCTCGGCCGGCGTGGCGGAAGGGAGACCGTCTGGAAAAAGCAAAGTGTCCACACTTTGCCATCCCACATCCCACACATCCACATGAAACTCTATACCTCTGCTTACCGAATGGTAGGATTCGGTGGCGGGCGGTGTCAGAAGCAGCCTGGCGTTCACAGCTTTTGTAAACACCTCCGGCCCCCTTATGCTCCGAGCGATAATCCAAACACTTGATTGCTGAGATATCAATTAACGAGGCGGGAGGTGCCATTAAAGGGCCACTGCACTCCCGCGCATCCTTCTTCCGCCCTCGAGCGAAAACGCAATTGTGCGGAGAGTCGAAATCGATATCTATTTTAACAACTTCAGTATTTTCTTGACCGCATCTGGCACTTTTTTTTTTAATAATACAGAAAACTTCTCATACACGCCTCAGTGGTCGAATTGGAGACGCCCGCCTAGAGCGTAGGGAGGTCCAGGCTCAAATCCTGGCTGAGGTAATATTTTTCGCCATATATTTTCTGTATTATTAAAAAAATGCCATTCTGGGAAAAAGGACAGTTAGCAACTCAATTTGGGGGTCTCAATTGGTAATTATTTGGATTGTTCGTAACTCTAATCTTTTACGAATTTTACCCAGCGTAGCTAAAACTCGCAATTAGCTATTCGATGTATATCCAAGATTTTAAAGTTATATTAATCCATTCTGGCAATTAGCTCTGTCGATATTCAGTAACGCAAACATAATTTTCACCTAAGAGGCACTAATCGAAATGTTAAGTTGCTTAACTACAAAAAAAAACGGTCTAAATTTTTCCCAGAGTGGAGTTACGAACGATCCAAATAATTCGATTACTAATTGTGGGCCCCAAAATGGGTTGCTGTCTTTTTTTCCCAGAGCAGATATAGTCAAGAAAATACTGAAGTTGTTAATTACTGCTAGCGGCTTGAAGAATATTCTTATTAGTTGGTATCTATTTTAATTGTACGGAGTTGTAATTGTCACCTATTAATTTTACGTTAATGTAATAATAATTATTACTTTATTAGATATTTCGAAGAGAATTGAATGAGCATATGTTAAACTGAATAAAATAATAACGTAATTGATATAAGGCGATTGTGAATGTGACGGTACAGGAATTTCTGGCGACCAGGCGGGATTTTAACGACACCGTCCTTTTTTTTAGCTGTACAACACGAGAGAGCGCCGAGGAGCACGTCTTCTCTCGTTGCGGCGGCGAGGAGGACCTCTTCGGGGCTTTACACGGGCATCCCTAACGTCTATCATCCTGCAAGCAGCACCTACCACCCTCTCCTATATCCGGCTTTGTTCCCCTTTAAACCCACGGTTCCAGCATTTACCCCGTCCGTCGGTAAGCAATAAAAATATAAGCAAAATATCAATGTTAATTCTTTCCACGATAAAATATGACCCGTTGTCTTGGTAGCGCATTTTTTGCCACGACCATCTCCGGAGTCTTTGTCCATGACTACCGCCAAGGAAGACGAAGTCACCAGCTCCGAGGAAGCGGCAACAGTCGATGTCAGAATTGAATCGAAAGGTATAAATTAATTGGAATGATTTAGAATTCCGCTGTTAATTTGTCAATAGATATCAGCGTTCCGACTCTCGAGTGAACGGGATGTATATCAGTGTTGCTTTTAGCCGCGCATGTAGTAAGAGATTCAAATTATCTGTTTGTTGCAGAGGAATTAGTAAGCACTCGCTTGGCACCGCCGGTTATCACTTCCGTCTCATCAGAATACACCATGCAAGGCTTATCTCTCCTGCCGACCGAAAATATCTACGAGTTCGCGGCGAAGCTGCTTTTCTTCGCCGTGCGATGGGCGAGAAGTATACATTCTTTTCTGGAAGTAAGCTTCAAGCTCTCTAACTTACTTTTTATAACTTTTACAATTTTTACAACTTTCCTTTTATAAAATAGCATAAAATAAAAACTCGTCGAACGGAATTTGAGCTAAGAAGATCGCAAAAGCTCTTTGTACCCGCCAAAGTTAGAAGGTAATCACATCGTTGTCCTCTCTCGCAAGCTTCCTTACAGAGACCAAACTATCCTTCTGGAGGAGTCGTGGAGCGAGTTGTTCGTGCTGACTGCCGCGCAGTGGAACTTTCCCGTGGATGAGACCACCCTGGTGCCCGTGGACCTGCCGATAGAGCGGAGAGAAGTTCTCCTCGATAAAGCGAGGAGGCTGAGGGAGCTCTTAGTAAAGTGCGCCGCGTTGAGGGTGGATCACTCGGAGTACGCGTGCTTAAAGGCCATAGTCCTCTTCAAGGCGGGTGAGCAAGTTAGGTCCGATCTCTTCCTCTGAAACGTCTTTCCCTTCTTTCTTTCCTTGCTTTATTCATCTGAAGCTTCAGTCGAAACTTTACATATATTGCAGAGCTGTCCACGAACTGCTCATTTCGGCCGATTTTTGCGAGGCACCGCCTATTATCTCCTACTCCAGTCATCTAACAACCGTAACCAAGCGCGCGGCGCTCAGCTTCAGGTACGATCGCAGTAATCCAACGCCCTTGCGTGCCCCTTGACTACCAAATGTCAGTTTCTAAAACGTGATTTGTTTAAAATCTTTTTAAATAATTACTAAATATACTCTTGTCAATGTAATTATTAATCGGGAATTAAAAGTTTCTTATTGAATTAGTTATTTAAAAAGATTTTAAACACATCACATTTCAGAAACAGACATTTGGCAGTCAAGAGGCACGCAACGACGTCGGATTACCGATATGTCGTACCTGAAGCTGAGCGCCGCGCGCTTGGTTACGGTTGTTAGATGACTGGAGTAGGGGGTAATAGGCGGTGCCTCGCGAAAATCGGCCGAAATTAGCAGTTCGTGGACAGCTCTGATATATTGTAATCTCATATTCGTATTTAGTAGTGTTCTCGAATTTTACAATTCTCATTGCCCGCGCAATTGCTCCGTTGCTTCTTCTCGCACGGCGAAAACGACCCTTCGTTTCATCTATTTCACAATTTTTTACAATCTTTTTGATACAATTTGATCCATCGTAGAGTCGCGAAACCTCTGCGAGCCGGGGCGAGTGGCGGCGTTGCAGGAGCAGACGGTAGCGGTGTTTTGCGAGAGGGATGCGCGCAGGGTGGGTCGATTGTTGCTGCTCTTACCACCGGCGCGTGCACTGTGCCGCGCCACCCTGCACGAGCTGCTGTTCAAGCCGACGGTCGGCGACGTCAGCGTGGAGCGACTGCTGGGCGACATGGTCGGCGCCCTCAGGCCCGCCTAACTGCCGGCACGAACGCACCCCTTTGCTCTCGCGATATCGGTGCCGTGTATGTTTTACCGACACCCTTTTGTCGGCGACGCCGAAAATCAAACCGGGCGATGATCATGTCGAGATAAAATTAGAATACACTTTCGCGTTGATCGTCCATAGAAGAACTACGCAATTTGCATGGAAAACTACGTTTGTTTTCATCTGCCTCTAAATTGTTTTTGCCTTCTTCAAAAATAATTAACAGAGAAGGTAACGAAGAACGCAGAGATATCCTGACCGACTTCGACGTCGTGGGAGTCACGTAATAGGGTTGGTTGTTTTAGATATTGACCTTAAGATTATTAGAGTGCGAACGTAACGCCGTTGTAATTATTATCGTTGACAGGGTTGGGAAGTAACTCGTTACTTGCCACACAGCACGCATGTCTAAAAGACATCTTTAAGACATCTTTAGACATACATATCTAAAAGACGACTTAAAGACGTCTGAAAGATGTCTTTTAGACATGCGTACTGTATGGGTTGTGACGAAGTTACAGTTACAGTTACTTTCTTTTGGTAACTCCAGCTCAGAGCTGTCCATGAACTGCTCATTTCGGCCGATTTTCGCGAGGTACCGCCTATTACCCTCTACTCCAGTCATCTAGCAACTGTAACTAAGCGCGCGGCGCTCAGCTTCAGGTACGACGTATCGGTGATCCGACGTCGTTGCGTGCCTTTTGACTGCCAAATGTCAGTTTTTGAAACGTGATTTGTTTAAAATCTTTTTAAATAACTAATTCCATAAGAAACTTAATTTCCGATTATTAATTACATCGACGAGAGTATATTTAGTAATTATTTAAAATGATTTTTTAATAATCATAAATCACATTTTAGAAACTGACATTTGGTAGTCAAGGGGCACGCAACGGCGTCGGATTACCGATACGTCGTACTTGAAGCTGAACGCCGTGCGCTTGGTTACGATTGTTAGATGACTGGAGTAGGGGGTAATAGGCGGTGCCTCGCGAAAATCGGCCGAAATTAGCAGTTCATGGACAGCTCTGAGATAGAAGAACAAGTGTCTTACGTATACGATCTTTTTATGTCACCGACATCGATGACCTTCAATCTTATGATACCGAATCTAGTCTAGTGATAGTTATCTTGTTCCTTTTTAAGATAACTTTTTAAGATAACTTTAATTAACTACTCTTTAAAAGCCAATTCGTGCGTTATCGCTGAAAACAGTGATATGATTGACTTGTTTTACGTATTCTTTATAAACAAAATTATAAGCCGGGAAGGAGCAGCTAATTATATGATTAGCGCCCTCCAAACTAGACTATTTTAATAAACTAACAATCGCGAATGGGACAGATAAGCAATAAGCGGCAGATATAATTTTTGTTGCCAGCTAGCTTATCGAATTATGATACGCTGCACGGGCCGTGCCGATAAAATTTGCAAAACGATGGTAAAAAGATACAGCAGGAGGGAAGCGCTCGAGATTTCATAACGCAGCGACAGTTTCGCCTGCCAGAATATCGATTCGCGATGGACAGAATTCTGGCGCTATTGTCAATCGCATCAGTTCTTTCCGTTTGTGTATGTGGTATTATATATATTATATATACACATAAATGGGCTTTGCGCAATGTAATATTTATGCACCTGAAGTGGACACATATGTACATACCTGTCCTAGATATAAATAACTTTACCGATGACCGTAGCGCATCGTAAATGAGATGTAATGCATATTAAAGCGACACAGACGCATATTCATGTAATTACTTAGCTAATCGATTAATGGTCTCATTTATTCCGTTCCCCGTGCCACTAGTCAGATATACCTGAAGCGGAAAACGATCGCCGTCGTCGTTACTCTCTCGCTAATGTTATCTCTATAGTATTACTTCCTTGCTCTAGAGCGACCGAAGATTATCTAATTGCGAGCCGATCGCTCACTGATGCCTATCGCATCGTATATCGTTTCGAAAAATTGTCCTCTGTAGTAATTAATAAAATTAATTCCTTTAGAAAAGACCCACGCGCACTTTTTTCTCTTCCTCAAAATAATTTTTCTCCGTATTAAAAGCGCTTGAACAATGTAATTAAGGATTTCCAATTGAAATCGTGTTACGATGTGTGTTGCAAGTTTTACGTTCTAGGTTTCAGAAGAGACGATTGTTTTTAATAGTAAGAAACGGGTTGCATATAAATCAAATGTTTTATCATAAAATAGAGTTATGCAGAGAGAATGTATTATCATGATTCATTTTGCATTGGATATTTCAGTTGAAAGTTCTTATACTTTTTCTTCTCGCGAATAAAAATGATAATTAGCACGCTGGAAGTCATTAGCATAATTGATATGGAAAGACGAGGGGACGACATACAAACGGCCATTTTTTTATTAACTAGAATAATTTATTTTTCTCTCATGGTAGAAAAAGGAGAATGTATCTTAACTCACGAACTGCATTGTACTTATATATATACAATTACATACAATCCTCAATTGAACGTTACACATAAACTCATTACACATCCATTTCTCATTACTTCCTTGTCCTCGTGAATGCATTCCCGAAAGAAAGAACTGCTCGCTATATTATCCGAAAATACGATCTGCCGTGGTCCGGTTGTTCAGCAGAGAAAAGTCATCTCGATTGTAAATGTAGTTGCGTGTGAATTCTTTTCTTATTTCTGCGCGTGGGTTGAGAGAAAGGAGACAGGGAGAGACAATGGAACAGAGTTCAAGAGGGAAAAAGATGGAACAGCGGAGAACTCTGCGGGAAGTTTTCGTACAAAGGAGCTGCGCGCGCGGGGGTGTATCTGTGTGCGTCTGTACATGCGTTGCATTCACGTGTGTATGCGTTTACAGATGGAAGGATTTTCGGATGGACGTTAATTATCGATGGGAGCATTTCGTGACGGAAAGATTTTCGAGGCTCACATTCGCATTATCCCGTCAGCTCTCGGTATCTCCGTCTGCCGAATCGCGCGTCGCGATTCTCGTTCGTGTGTAACCATTCTCGGACAGTTAAGATTATTGATAGCAAGCGGTAGCTGGAAGAAAACGAAAACGCCCGACCGAGCGATGGCTCGAGACAATTCTCGACCACGATTTCTAGCACGAGGGAGGTACATTTCAACTTGCGGTGTGCGCTCGAGCAACTTCTTAAATATGTCTCGAACGAAACTCGGGATTATAAAGCCTTGTCGCGTGACAAATTTCTCAGAAAATTTTCAAGTTATTTGAAATTTCCTCCCTTTATTTAAAACTCTTTGAAAATGTTTGCCGTAAACCGTTCGAAGCTTCAAATGTATCTCTCCCTCACTTTTGCTCTGCCCTGACTCGCTCGGCCGTTTTGCTCGAATCTTTTCCATCGTTTTTAGCATCTAAACGGATATTACTTAATGAACAAACGAACAAACAAACAAAAATAGAAGAGAAAGAAGAGATCTCTTTTCGAAATCTACTCGTGAGTTACCTGCTCTCTTCCGTGATCCGCCGGTCGCTCTTTATCATATATGTGTTACATATTTATATACTGTTCTCCTTAATAGCAGTTTTTTAACGCGCTTACATTCAAATAGACTTTTATTAGAGTTACACAGTTGATTTGCAATTAAACCTGATTCACCTGCGTGTACCCATTATCTTCTCGTTCATCCATTACACTCTCACTCTCTTTCTCTCTCTCTCTCTCTCACTCACTCACTCACTCCCCCCCTCTCTCTCTCTCTCTCTTTCTCTATTTTTCTAGTTCTTCTTTTCATTTATGTGAGGAATTGTTCTCGTTCTCGTTTGCCAATGCTCGCTTACGCGCATGCTTCACCTCGATCCTCGCTTCAGCTTCCTCGAATCGCGTTTATCGATCGGAGTAATTAAAACAACCAGAGAAACGTAATATCCTCTAATGGTAAAATCAACGGTAATTAGTGAAGTCATTAATTAATGGCAATAGATGACTACTTCAATTATTGCTACATCAAGCATTTACCGTGCGCGTTATTGAGTTAAAACGTATCGTACATCTTAGCTACAATTCAACGTTCGTTTGTGCAATTTCGGCAAGAGACAAGCAGTACGATGCACCTCAGGCGCATCTGAATTTTTAAAGAAGTGAAAAATTCCCGTGCCGAATCGTGTACACTTCATATTCAGGATCGATTGAGGACCGAGGCTCGCAGGCGCGTTAACGTTTACAAAGAAAAAGACGTGCGTACATTCGTGTTCGCTGAATCTCTCATCTTCCTGATTTCCTGTCGCTTGAATGCGCGACGAAATATCGCCGACGCCTTACTTCTACCTTGGCCCTTTCCTTTCTCTTAAAAGATAAAAAAAATGAATCAAACACAACGGCATTTCTACTATTTTCCTCCATTTCAACACTAATATGTAAGGACAAAACTAACAGATTTCGGCGTAATAACAAATCGCCGTGAGCCGAAGGTCCGAAAGGAGTTCCGAGAGAGCAAATCTGTGCAAGTCCGGATTTTCGGGACGTTCGCACCTTCTGCGCATTTTCTTCGCAAACTCGGAAGTTTCGGACGAATCGGCAAACAGCGAAATATAACAGATTGTCGGCTCTGACGATCGTCGTTGCGGATTCTCGACGATGCCCTTTATTCGCAATCGCGAACGATCGATTATGCTTATCATCCTCTCTACCTTGTTCTCTGCAAAATCTGGATTACCTCATCGTAATCCTCTTTTTTCCCAGAGAAGATAAAGATATTGCGATATCCTTCTTTCTCTGATGAAAAAAAGGAGCTTCTACTATCGAAAAATTGCAATCTCCTGTGAATTTCCAGAGAATTGATGCGACTCCCGAAAGCGTTTGGCAGTGACGTTTCGCCTTATTAATTAATATTGATATTAATGAAGGATGCTTATATCCCTTCTCAGTTTTTCTCGATTCGGGGCGCAATATTCGCTGGAATTCCGCGAAAATAATCTGTTGGTAAAATCTGATCGTTACCGAATTTGCGTAGAAATTTGCATGACAGTTAAATGTGACGAAAGAGCAGGGAAAAAATTCTGCGATCACGAATATTGGAAATTCTCGAGAAAAGTCCGCAACTTCGGCGACCCTATACTATATACATTTGCGAGGGGGAGCAAGCACCCGCGGGACATCGACGCCCGAGAAAAAAAGGGTTGCAGTCGAGTTCCCGGGAGTGCTCCATCCCCCTCCCCGACAGAGCACGCAAACGCAATAATCTATTATCTCGTAATTGTTTATCGTCGTCGTTACGCTCGCACGTTGCAATTATTTTCTATTGTATGGGGGATGGTGGGGCGTGGGATGGGGTTCCTTTGCCTGTGAAATTAGCATAATCGTCGCGCGTTGCTATGACCGTACGTCTCGCTTCGCACCGGTGCGTTTCCGAATTTGCATCTGGCACCTGAATTCGCCAGGTCCGCCAGCGATGACAAGCGCAGAATCTGCTGCTTCCCACTTCGAGAATAATTAGCGTTACAGCGAGTCGACAATCGTTTCAGACACTTGCCTCGACCGACTTGCTCTCTGTGCACGCAATTTTTTCTCCGCCTTGCGGAAGGAAAGAGGACGGCTCGGATGGATTTCTCGCGGATAGCATTATCGATTAGGGAAGAAAATACCCGTTTACGAACGGCGCTGTCGTAATCTTCAGCGATATCGTGATTTCAATTGATGCTTTCTCTCTCTCTTTCTCTCTGACGAACTTCAACGAACGGAAATATATTATTTGCATCACTTGCAGCTCGCCTCTCAATTGTTAGTTTTCGAAAGATAATTTTTTTCCATGAGAGAGATTTGTGTAGAATCATCTTTGAAATCACAATGTTACATACCATATAAATTATCTATCAGACCTATTGTCACTCTATCAATTTTTAAATCAAATTTTCTCCTAAAGAAATTCTTAACATCGTTAGAAGAAAAATTTAGATTCGCACGAAATTGGAAGAGGCAAACGATGACTTATGGAATTACATCAATTAATTTCATCGGTTCCGATAAATTCTGGATCGGATCGCTGTAACGCTATTCATCTCCCGTTTCTCTCGGCTTCGTTAAAATAAAATCTCGTTTCCTTATCGAGCAGAATTACGCGCTGTACCATGTCGGGTGACTTAGGCTCGCGTTAATAGCTTCAGAATCTGCGAGGTAGTTTGCGTGTAGGCGCGTCGCGACGCCGGGCGTCTCGACGCCGGTGCTTTCAAATCCCCATTGGTCTATTGTAACAACTATTGCACATATATGATTTGATATATAATGTGTGTATAGAAAAATCGCGTGACATTCGATCCGTGATAAAAACACAGGGTGCGTAGAAAGACATGGTTCTCTTTGCAAACTGCAAATATTAATCGTAGTTAATTAATTAACATGTAATAGGTACGTTTAAATGCCATTCGGTTTCCATAACTCCCCCGTCGTTTCTCTCATTCTCACGCTCTTTCCCACTCTTTCTCCCATTCTCTCTTGTTCCTTTCACTCTCGCACTCTTTCTCGCACGCACTCTAAATCTCCCACGCATTCTGTTATCTCCGTTACGTATTGTATTAAAGCAAAGGACAAAACTGCAAAATATATATGGCGCATGTGGTGTAGATATATATATGTGTAATATATATATGTGTATTGTATATATATCGATGTATATAATATAAATTTCTATGGTAAATCTGGCTTGTCAATAAACTCTTAAACATTTATTACAGGCGGAGAGAATCGGTTCTTTTTCTTCCTTCTCCATAGCGTGTGTACAGCGCAGTACGCACTTAAAAAACTTTCGCACACGTCCGGACCGTAAGGAAGCAGAGATCTGTCGAAAGTATTGAAAAGATTCTCCGTGTATTGAGACGTTTTAAAAATATAGCGTTTCTTTATCAACTTAGCAGCTTCTTTCCTTCGGTCCAGACGCACGGCAAGTTCCGGTTTAAGCGTGAAACACGTATGTATTCTTCGCGGAAAGGAACACGCGTGCTGAAGAAATACAGCACGCGCGGTACACTGAAAGATAACGCGGCTGTGAAACGTAACGAATTCTACTTCACCCTCGTCCTGCACGTCTGTTTTTGTGTCTGTCGGTGTGGCTCGCTTTCAACGTCTTTCTCTTCGCTCATCAAAATGATTCATGGCAATTCCTCACTCGCGTGTGCCTACTAAATTTATGATCCGAAAAACATAAACACCTTTAGCGGTTGCTCTCCCTCCAGAAGTGGTATCCTTAAAACTTCCCGAAAACGATTTCTCGCTTATTCGCATGCTCCTATTGGGCACGGAAAATTCCCGAACGTTTCTTTCATTCTCAAAGAAAGTTTCAAAAAGTCGAAATGCTCGCGGCGGTCGTTTCGAAAAAATCGTATCCTTGCAATCTGGCTTCTAGATTTTCAGACTAGAACGACAACAGAAGATGTAGTTTCCGAAGGGTGAGCATGATACGATCTCCCCGAAATACCTGGCGATCTCGATAATAATTTAGCGAAGCGTTAGACGGAACTTGAATTTCGCATCTGGAGGAAAGCCGTCCACTACTTTCTTTTTCTGCCTTATCATATGCCTACGAACGTTTTATTTCCTATGCTTTCGTGTACTTAATAAGGGTTATTCATATAGAGTATGTAGTATGTAGTAAACATTATCCACTAAAAACACTGCAGCTTTCTTTTCTCCTCGACCGAAAAGTTTTATGCGTCATGTGTGACACTGGATTTCTACGCATATGTATGTATGTATTTATGTGTGTGTGTGTGTGTGTGTGTGTGTGTGTGTACGTTTGCTTTTGTGAGTGATGAGATCTGCGTCAATTTGGTGATTCGAAATGGCGCAATTGAGTGTGAAGGGTGCTGAGAAAAAAAAAACAACGAATGACGAAGAAACTACTCTACGTAATGTAAAAGGAGAAAAGTCAACGGAACAAATGCCAAAAAGCAAACGAAAAAGAACCGTAACGCGACGACGCACAAAATTTTGCGAGTTCATGCGGAAAGGACAGCTCGCGAAAAGAGGATGATCTTTGAAGGAAGAAACACGCGTTCCTCATTCGGAAAGGGAAAATGTTCCCTCCGTTTCTCTCCCTCTTATCTTTTATTTACACGTTTACGAATGTCCCACGTGTCTCGGGTATTTTTTAAAGAGCTACTTCAAAGCAAGAGAATTAGCAACAAATAAATAATTTACTCGACATGCTGCAAGTTTCACGATAATCTAAGACTTTGCATACAATCGTTATACAAGTATTTTAATTAATTATGGATTATTTCTTCGGTATAGAAAGTCACTTTAAAACAATCTGAAAAAAAGGGAATGGGTCGTTCAATTTTTCGTCAGATAAATTTTTTTGGAAAACAAACGAGGAACATTTCGCGTTTCTTTTGGCGTTTGCAAAGATCAAGAAACAAATTGTCGAACACACAAAAATATATAGTAGCTAGTAGCACTAGTAGTAATAGGAGTAATGGTAGTAGTAGTACGTAGCAGCAATTATATAGAACTTTTTCCTCTACAGATAGAAATAGTAGCGATTAAAGTAAACTAAAGTAGACAAAAATGAATTAATTACGGCGAAATTGTTTTAACCGCGGGGGGGGGAGGAGGCTCGATTTCCCTTTCCCTCGACTTGACCGAGACAGTCCTCTCGGTCGCTAACGTTCCCTCGATCGCAAAGAATCCCGCCGGAATTAAAATAAAAAAAAAGAAAAACAAAAGGACTCATTACACTTAATGTAGCGAGTGTGAAGCGAATGCAAGCGCGGAGGTTGTCCCCGTCGGCAATGCACAACCTTTATATCTATATATGCGATATGCGTATCGACACCTCGGGGCGAGAACGGTGCGGAAGCGCGAAATCAAACGAGCTGTACTTTTGTTCGCCCTTACACGAGGAAAGGGGAGGTGAGAAGATTTAACGGGATATACTTTTTCTCTCCGCGTCTACGAGGCTCCGGCCGACCTGACCACGAGGCATCGATATTTCGATTGAGAAAATGGGTGGATCCCCCCCAATGTTATCCTCCCTTCTTTCGCTTACGATTACGTTATCTCCCTTGAGATGCATTGTATCATCGTCACTGTAATCTTGTGCACTGTTCTTCCGTCGCACATATCTCTCTCTTTCTCTCTCTCTCTCCCTCTTCCTCATTCATTCTCCCTATGAATACAGTGTTCCTCTTGCTATTGTGATAGTGTTCCTCGCATTTCTCTTTTTTTTCACCCCTACTTACTATAGTAACGGCGAGACGGCGCGGCGTCGCCGCGTTCGCTATGATTATCGATTAATTAATTAGTATTATTACTTCGTTTATGCATGCAACCATCATTATACGTGGGTGTGTGCTTCCTTTCTTCCTCTCCTCGATTATCCTCTCCCTCTGCACATATCTCGGCGTGCGTATATATAATTAATAATAATATGTACGTATATTATATAATAGAAATACATATAAAAGTATATATATATTTATATAGTATGCGTGTATTGTGGCATAGACATGTTGGTGTCCATGTAGCATGTCGCTGTCATTCGTTTGTTATGTTACTTCGAAATTCTTTTCTAATGCGCTAATGAGGCTTGGCCCTTCGGTCGCCCTAGCGTCGTGCTGGGTCGGACCGATTCTTCTGCTGCTACTTCCTCTTCCAATTCTTCAGATATACAATATGTCGTGGCTGTTTGTCCTTGTCTGTCTTTTGCTCTGCTGCGCGAAAGCTGCGGTTCTCCTTGCTGGCGTTTCGCCTCCCTTTCTGCAACGGCTTCTTTCTTTCGTTTATCTTGCTTTCAGTTTCCTTCGCTATGATTCTACTAATTCTTTATTACAGCGCTTGAGAACCTACTTGCGGTTAATTTAACAATCCTTTTCCGTGGTGGCAGTTTTTATTTTCTGAATTTGCGCGGTCGTCGTCGAAGCGTCTCGCGTGGTGACGATCACGCTTTGCATCTGTCGATTTTTTTTCTTTTTTAGTTTGATTATATATTAGAATTCTTAATCTAATCCCTGATAGATTTCCTTTTCCGAATTTGAGATGTTCGAAGATTTACATTGGCTGCGTTCTACGTTTTCTTTCACTTTGATTATCTTGAAATTATTAATTCGATTCGTGGTCGATGCGATCTTCATTTCCGAACCAATGATTCAGGGTCCAAATTGATCTCTTCCTCGATGAAGATTGATGCTGTTTTGATTATTCCAAAAGTTTTAATTTTAACCTCTATTCGACATGTTTCCTCTAATTGCAGTACTTGAAAATTCTTCATCACAAATATCTATAATAAAGATTAACGGTTTGATTATCTTCTCAAAATTATAATTTATTATGTATTCAAAAATCCAAATTTTCTGTTTTCGTCTTCAGGACCGATATATTCTTCCATTGCTTCATATTTCAGGCTGTGCTATCGCTGCTTGCATATTGCTGAAAAATGTTCTACTGTATCTTCTCTTGCCGTTCCTTTTCCCGATTCGCTTTCTCTATATCTAATTTTTTCTTGCCGTTCCATTAACACGGACGAGAAATCACGAAGCGAATTAGCGCCGCGAGTCGAGAGAATCCTGGAAAAAATCTCACATCGATAATTATGGCAGTCCCAAACGTGACGGACAATTAATTATTATATAATCTACTACTTCACTTGAATAATTTTTTAAATATTATCAAATATAACAAGCCCTAGCAAGATTTGTAAAATTGCAAATAATTTTGAAAAGTTATGCATAATACCAACGCTATTTGTCTCGCGAAATGAAGAAAAAAGATTATCTACATAATTTTTGTGCCGCGACTATTACTTTCCGGTAAGGACAATGGTCTGTAAGACGATCGAATAGATATGTTCGAGGTCAGGTCGGACGTGGTCGTCGTACAAGGATGACAGGTCGAGCACGAAGAGTTGATCTCTCAATGCAGAGGGTGTAATGGAATCCCGCGTTCAATTTCGTAATGAGTAATGGTCCCGTTTAAATCACCACGCTGGTGGTGGACTGGATTTGATCGACAGCCTCGTTACTGGATCACGAGGTCGGAAGTGAAAGATCGTGGTCGTTGAAGAGGAGTTTCGCCAGGATCCGTTCGACTCGCGGCAACGTATGTACAGAGCGTTACTTTATGTACACATGTACATATGTACAACGTGCGTTTCGACATGCTGTACGTTGTGAACATTGTGGTCGGAGGATAATGGTGAAAAGCAAGGTCGGTTAACCCGGCAGTGGTACGGCCCAGGATTATCAGCGGGCCGACGAGGGCGAGCATCCCCGTGGAGACTTTTTTCCTCGAGGGGGTCAGTTTCCGAGCGTATTCGCGTTATTATTACTGGATTACAGCACAACTCGTGTTTATTTGTTGTTTTTATTATCAAGTAACATTTCCGCATATCTTATAGCTATGTGATTTTTGTAACTTTTGTGTCTGTCCAATTGAGATGCGTGCTCCGATCGAGCACAGTTCACGCATCACTCACGTCAGACGGAGTTAGATGATCGGAAGAAAATCGATGGTGCATTACGTGTATACATATATTTTGCATTACTATTTATTGTTTAAAATAATCGGAACATGATCGATATGCACTAATATATAGTCGCCTTACTATATATATATATTTATGTAATATATATATATATGTATATCGATTAACGTAAAGAGCACCTGAAGACAAATGATACCACTGCCGGGCTAAAAGCGGCGTCTGAGCGATTATCGGCGGTAGTATAACGCTGTTTTATGTTCGGTGTAAAACGTAGTTTCTTCCCGGGAGTGTGTGCGTCGTTTCGAAAAATCGGTATCGCCGCAAGCAGGGAAAATCGCATGCGCGTGAACAGCTGACAGCTGTTGTCCGTCATCTACGGACCGACAGCGCGACACTTTCACGAACCGTAGGAAGAATGAACAAGCGCATCACGCACGAATGGTGAAACTAGAATGGCGGAAAAGAAAAGGAAAATTAACACACGGAACGTAACGCGTGAGCGAGGAACAAGTGCCCTGTTCCCGAATTCGTGTTCCGAAGGAGTCCTTCCGCCGATCGCTCGAGCGTTCTGCCGGAGCTGATTCTATCTTCTTTTTCTCGCTCGGTGCAACAAGTGAATAAACAAAGACAAAAAAATAAGAAATAAAGAAAAAACCAAGATTAAAAATACGGAAGGAAAACGCGAACAACTATTCTTTTCTCTTTTTTTGTGCGCCTGGCAGCATTTTTTTTCACTTTTCGTTTCGTTTAATTTCATAGAATTCTTGTAAAACTTATGAGGTAGCGATGGTATTACGTAAATTCCCTGTGTTTCTTCCATTCCTCTCGCGCAAACACGGAGTGAAAGGAAAGAAAAAAAATTAAGAATTTGCTTCCTTCTTTTGTATATGGATGTTCCCACTCCGTGTGCGGAGCTTTCTCGCTTTCTCCCGGAAACGGCTATTTTGGGTTTTAGTATTATTAATCTCGTCTCTCTCGACATTGTCTCCAGCGTCCGATCAGTCGCCTCATCTCAGTGTTGGCAGTGTGTGGACAGCCTTATGTGTGAGATACAGTTACTATCGAGAGGAACGATCGGTAGATCGTACCTTGAATCGAGCTTGATCGCACGGCGAAATTTCATCGTTCCTTCTTTCACGAGAAAATCCCCGCTTTTCCACGATAATCGGAAGATCGCAAATTTTACATTTTACTTATGAAACATTTCCGAATGACGGAAAGCGATTATCGTGTCTGGCTAATTTTGTTTCGATATTGAGGTAATACAATGAACGTTTAGTACCAAGTAATTTCTAAAGATACTCGTTAAACGTGCATTTCGACGGAACGGATGGTTTCTGCCGTGCGATCGCTCTCTTGCGGATGTGATCGTTCCTTAGCGTATATAATCAGTCGCAAAAGTTCGGTAGCAAAGTGAGACGAGGCACACCTGTGCGGAAAACTGCGTACAAAAATGTCGCTCAATTTTTCTGCTCTCCCATCAATTTTTCTTCTCTCTCTCTCTTTCTCTCTCATTCTCTCGCACATTCGCACACACACGTACGCGCATACTCTTGCTCTAAAACTTTCATTCATCTCACTCACTCGCTTCATTCGCCCCGTTCGACGAACGGCTATTTACGGGTTGCACATAATCTGGCACGTCGACTAATCATCCGCCTCACGTTAATTAAGTTTAAGCTTTACATATAATATATATCTATGTACAACAGATGTATAGTGTATATGCGCTGCGTAACTATGTATACATAGGTATATTTCTCGGGGATCATCGGGGGAAGGGTAAATGCAGTGTAGAGAATAAGTTACATATCCGCGCGGCTCTCCATCATAATGCCCATTATTGGCAACAATAGGATAATAATAGATAATACACCGGGAGTCCCTTCAATGGGCTCCCACCGTCGTCATTACTTCTCCATCTTTACCCTCTGTCACACTCTACTTCTCTAGCTTCGCTTAGATCTTACGAATTACATTACATCCTCCACACACAGTTTCTTCACTCTCTTAGCGTTAACTTGGCGTTAACAAGCGCCATTCTTCTCACCCCCCTCACTGTCCCTATCATCTGGAGGCGCGATATCACGCCCAAGGAGCTTATCTGATATACTATCTGTTTAGCGATATCAACCTGTCACAGTAATAACAATGCCCAAGTGTGTATAATAAGGCCTTCGATTGCCGCCACGTGCCCGGTCCCAGAATTGTTTCCCGCGCCGAAAGTACCGATCATCCCCCATTTGATTTTTCCCAAGGACGTCCGGTCGCGCCCCAAGTGTCTGGATAAAAAAGATCGAGAAGAAGATAAGACACGTAGATTCTTTGGATCCTTAATCTTTCGTTATGACGATCATTCAATTTTCACAGCTACTTCCGACAACTACTGGATTACCACGAAATGTTCCATTATAATCGTAAAATATTGACTCGGATCTATTTATCCAGATAGCTTCGAAGCCAATCGCGACGTCCGGTCGCTACGTATTTCCGGAAAGTAATCGTCAGCCCGTCGAGGAGCGAGGCCACGTCGGTAACGAAACGAGGCCTTCGTCCTCGAGCGAAGCTCGCGAGAGCAAATCCGAAAAGAGCGACCGCTTATCCCCGTGAAATTTTTCCGGCGGCCTTATCACCGTTCCCTGCACCCGAATCGCACTTACTCCAAATCTCTATCGAAACCCTAATACTAAAGCCCAAAATAATCTACCTCTCCTGGCCGTAATCTGCCATCTCTGTTTTACTTTTGCTTTTGTCAATCACCCCCCAAACTTAGACGCGAACGCGATCCTCGTCCCGTCGCCGAGCGAGGAGCGCGTGACGCATATTTAATATTAAAAATCAGTTTAAATCACCCCTTATCGCTATTATTACTTATTAGTCGCTATTATTAATTAAAGACAAGTATCCTGCAATCTGTTTGAGTTCCAAACGGGCCGCGGTCGCGCGACCCTGGACGCGAGTTGTCTTTCTCTAAGCGTTGCTCGCGAACGCGATCGCGGTGATGCGGGATCGATCGTTCGGATTCTGCATGCCGGAATACATGTACCTATATGTAAATATATATATATTTTTTATATCAATATATCTTGTCGGTGAATCGTGAGTAATGTCGGTGAGAGAGTAATGCGGAATAATGCCGGTGTCGAGAGAGAAACGCTGTTTCTTTCTTTCTCTCCCCTTTCTATTTCCAGATGTGCTATGCGTTACTGTGTGCTATGCAGGGTATTTCTCCTACGGCGATTCCGCGAGATCGACCAAGTCGATCGAAGTCTCCAACCGTCTCCATCCTTTGCCGGGAGGCATTCGCGAGAGGCCCCCGGTCGTTGGCCGACTTTTATCGGCTCGAATCGTCGCTCCGATCGGCTTGGCCACTCCTCGAGGTTCGCCATCGGTGATAAGAGAAGAACCTCTAACTTCTGCTGCGGAGAAACTCCTGTTGTATGCGTTGCATGCATTCGGCTTTGAAGATCGGGTGCATCTGGATGCCGTTCGCAGAGAGCTGTGCTGCGTTCACGACTGGTCCTGGATTGCGATTGATCGATCAAATGGAAACGAGAGCGTCCTGGCTCGAGCATCTCGTTCGTCTGACTCTTTCTTCCTGTCTCTCTCTCTCTCTCTCTTTCTCTCTCTCTCTTTCTCTCTTGTCTGAGTGTATCCTCGTGGAAAGTCCGATATACTGCGAATCGCGTAGCTGTTACGCGTTAGACGCTCTTTTTATTTTCTTCCTCTTTTTTTAAATACCTTTTCTCGCTCGCAGGCGTGTTCGCCTGAGATTCTGCCGTCTGTGCACTTTTTTCCTCTTGTGATTTCACTCTCGTAAGTGATACGATGCGCGTGTTAATTGTCATTCATCGTCACGCGTTGCTCTGTTAAACTTGCTGAAGAGCGTTCGGCGATATCCTGGCGGGAAACGTCGAATTCTCTGGCGATGTAGCGATACAAAACTGCGTGCGATGAAAGAACGTGACGGAAGATCGGATAAAACTGCGTTTCGCGAGAGTCCTTGGAGACACGTTGACGATGTAAGAACGCGCGTTCGTACAAAGAAAAATGGAGTACTTATTACGTTTCGAGGCTTGTACATTAATTCAAGCGATCTTTTACTGTTTTTTTTTTACGGATTGGGTCTTCCGATTGTTGTTTCTTTATGACGATGAGTTATTCCTGTCTTCTTTTTCGGCGGAATGACGTAAAATTTGACCTTTTTTTTTCGCTCGAACCTCCTATGTTTTTAACTTAATCTGCCGGGATAGTACAATCTTAGCCGAGCTTAGTATAATCTTCACTTTTTACGCGATCTTCGACAGTAAAATACTCTAGAATACTAACATTTAGCAATAAATCGATTTTGTACATTTGTTTGTCGATATCTCTACCAGTAGATTAAGTTATATTCCTCGCCTCTAACTTTTCGCGCGCCCCGCGGGCGCGCGCAATAATTTATAACGTTAAAAATTTTCTTTCTTCTTTAAGTTATTATTATATTAATAATTTCATCTATTCAATCATCATTTGTTATTTTGTTTGATTTGTACATTCTCTTTCTTTCTCTCGAGCGTGCGAGCGGGTTGTCTCTCTCTCTCTCTCCTTTTGTCTTTCTTTTTCTATCTCAGTGTTTTCTGAATGCTTGAGGAATCGGCTGAATAATGTTCCCTTCTTCCGTTTTTTCTTTCCCGATCAAAGAGGCTGCTTCTATTTGCTGTCTTCTGAGTGAAAAGTATGCAAATTCCATCTTTTTTTTTCTCATTTTCATTCTTTTCTCCTAATCTTTTGATCCGAAACTTTTTCTTAAAAAAAAAAGAATAAAACAATTCGTCGCAACGAAAATATCCAAACTGAAAGACCCGATGAACGAGCGAAAGGTGTGAGTTTTCGTATGCGGGGGCACATCGATCTGCCCGCGGGAAGAACGCAGCGATTAACGTTTTCGCACGACTTTGAAATTGACGTACGCATTACGTGTCTATCGAAAGTTTGGAAAAATTTTGAAGTAACATCCGAATGTTCGCCTTTGCGCGCCATTGACCGGCGACACTAAACGTACCAAGGACAGTAAATGGATTCTGTTCCTCTCTCGCCGAAAAATATCGGACGCCGCGTTTTATCCCGGAGCAAAAGCTTCGTTCGCTCAATTTAGAAAGAGATACTCCGAAAGAGGGCGGGTGGGCGATGGTACCCGCCGAAGGCCGGCTCGACGAGGTCTCGACGGAGTCCTCTCCCCGGCGACGACGGGTCTCTGTGATAGGGGCGATTCGCGTGTCTCGCTTCGCGTCGTGCTTCTTCTCTCAAGTGTCCGGACTGTTCCTCCTTCATCGAACTTGAAATTTTGAACATACGGGCCAAAAAAAGTAAATCAAAAAGATGACGCGTGATATGATATTGGTCTCGAAGTAGCGTAAATGATATTCGTCGACCGTGAGAATAAACGAGGGCTTGATTCCGTATTTGCTATCTCCCATTCTGTATCCTTCCCCTTGCTCATTGTCTGCGCGTTCTACTGTAATTGTTCTCTGCATTTTTGCCTCTGTTATCGTTGCATCCTGTTCCGTTCGGCAATCTATTGCTGTGTAGTCACTAGGTTTGCATGCTGTGCGAACGTGTTTCTCTTGTCCCTTGGCACTTCCTTCCGTTTCGCAACTTCTTTCTCCTTTACAAGCTTTAATACAAATCTCTCCCTCTCTCTCTCTCACTACTTCTCCCTCCATCTTTCATCATTTAAATATTTACGCTTGATAAATAACCGCGTGGCACGGGTCTGGGCGAGGGTACTCCTCTACGGTGGTACGACGCGCAAACAGGCCACTCGTATAAAACTACGAGGCCCCTGGACTTGCGGGGTCCCGTCTCGCCGACGGCCTCGCCGGGCAGACCCGTGGCCGCCGCTTCTTCGAAATATATTATTAAATATAATATACAAATTTATATCCGACTAAGAAATCTACTTCACGTCGTAATCTTTTTCCCCCTCCTAAAAGCGAGCGAGCTCATCGCAAAAAGCTGCGCGCCTCATCCTCCCGATTAACTCTTATAATCCTCTCTCTCTCTCTCTATAACGTTAATTTATCCGTTTTCCCGCGAAAATCATTTCATTTTGTCACTCCTCTTTCTCCTTCTCTTATCTTACATTAAAAAAAACTCTCTCTCTCTCTTTATTTTCTCACCTTAATATCGTAAAAATTCATTAAGTTATTAAAAACATCTAACAAAAAAAATTGAAAAAGAAAGATTCACTTGGAGTCTCCCCAACAATGTATCAAAAATAAATCTACGTTTCTCAGACTCGTTTTCCTCTTTTATTCTATTTTCGATTTTTCTTTATCCTTTTCTCTGTTCTCCTTTACTCGTGTGCTAGTTCGGCGCTTCATCCTTGCGCGATGCAGCGGAAAAGAAGAAGACTCGCATTCTCGTCGCGCACTAGATATGTGACTCCTCCATTTTGCTCTCAAGCCGGTCAATTTTCTTCTTATATTCACAAATGTGTGCCGGTTATATTTAGTTTTTATTTATACAAGATTTTTGCTTCCAAGCTTTAGATCTAGAAACAGAGGTAAACATTTAAACCGAGTCTACGAGCTTCTAGGTCCACTTTCATAAACACGAGTTAAAGTTTGACCGAGGTTAAAGGACTGAATTGAGATCTCAACATTTTAAAGAGACAGGAAACGAAGAATGGAAAAAGATATAATATCGTATGTTTAATCAAGTTTTTTTTCAGAAAGGCTACGAATTAAATTCTCAGAGTTTTCTATATGCGAGCGAACTTTATTTTACGCTTAAGCTCATTAGTTTAAGTCTTAACTCTGACTTTTACCTTCTTGCCATATTTAGAAAACCAAGAGCCGGTTATAAACTACGATTAGCATTAATCAACGTTTATGAAAACCCGTTTTCGGTATTTGAAAAAGACTCGGTCAAACTTAATTATAATCAAGGATGATATAATGAAGTTAGATTCATTTAAAAGCTCACATCGATCAATGTTCGCATCTTTCTTGAAATCCGAAGTTCCGAAGAAACAAAAATTGTAAATGACGATTGAAGTTGGCCGACACTTTTGTGGCTTTAAGAACGAATGTTATCGAAAGAGAGCAAAATGCGGATCAATCAGTCGCATATCTAACAATTCAGATCGAAGACGCGCGATGAGATAATGCGCGCCTCCGTTTCTCGCCGCAAAGTCCCGTTCTTATCGATTAACACCCGCGAAATAATATTCGCACACTCCAGTAATCCAATTTCCGGCCTCTTCCGAAAGAAATAAGAGAAAAAAAAGGAATAAAGATCGATTAAGCACACGATGTTACGATCCTCTTTCTTTCGTCCCGTGTCACTTTTAAATCTCGATTATCTTATTTATCCTTAACCTCGTGTATCTTTGTACTAAACGCATACCGAACGCCGAGAGTGTAAATCGGCGGGCCCGTGGGGCCCGTCGTGTCGCCAGACGTGGGTGCCCCGGTTGGGGCTCCACGCGCCGATACCGGTGCCGCCTCGGTTGTGCGCCGACGGGCTCGATGATCGCCGATCGATCGTCAAAGGTTTCATCCCGCATTTTCGCCGGACGACTCCGAATAATTGCCGGAGGGAGAAATGAAATCGGCGTTGGTTCCGCGAGTTCGCCCAAACTTTTTCAGAAAGTTCGTTCAGATCCCGGAGAACGATCGAGCTCCGATCGGCGCGAGACCGTGCGCGGTGTGATTGATTAGTCCGTTGTATTTGTTGAATTTCCTTGGTCATGCTTAACGACCGCTCTGCAGGGTCGGTTTTCTCGACTCCGAATCTGATTTGATTCATCGCGTTCCCCGTCTCGCTGCCTCCGCCTCATCTACTTGCCGCGCGATCGATCGTCTGATGAAACCTCTCTCACTCTCTGTCTCTCTTTCTTCCTTTCAATCTCTATCTCTTTCCCGTACCACTCTAAAAGCGTCACTTCGGAATGTCTTCAGAACTCGACACAGCGACTGTGATTCGCGTATTCGGTCACTAGTATACCAGCTGAAGCAAGGTCGCCTTCGATGGCGCGACATCGTTGTTGGAGAACGACTTGGACGCGAGAAATCACGTCTCGTTTTCTTCTTCTTTCTTTCTCTTCCTTTCGTCCCGCCGGACGTCTCCTCGGATCATCCCCGATCACGAGAGGAACCTCCTGGCTCTTTGCAGCGGGATAATAATGGCCGATTATACGCGCTGCGAGTCGCGATATCGATGCGAGATCGAGATCGTTGCGCTCCGCGGTTCTCCACGCGGTTCTCCGCCGGCCGGTTCTGCGTGCCCCTAACAGCTATAATTTGCAAAAATTACGGGGTCCGCAGGCTCGCCGGGGGATGTCTCGCGGAGGCTCCGTCTCGACGTTCATCTTCCGGGCGACACACCATCGCGGTGAGAGCAAGCGTCGCGATTAAACGTCGCGACACCCGGCTCTCCCTCTCCTCTCCTCCCGTCTCTTGCTTATCTCTCGCGTTAAGCCTGATTCACCCTTACTCTTTTCCTTCGCCTTTCCTCGCCGTTTAACTTCTAATCAGTAGTCAAATTACTTATCAATTAATAATTATTATTCAACACACGCACACTCACACATTATTACATTCATGGTAAAAGTAAAAATCCCTGAAAAGATTTGTCGGTTCACTTTTTGTCCCTTACGTCCCCTCCTTCGCTCGCCGCCTGTCTCTCTTTTGCTTCCTTTGTTTCTCTTTCTCTCTCTCTCTCTCTCTCTCTCTCTCTCTCTCTCTCTCTCTCTCTCTCTACTCTCGCTCTCTTTCTCCTTCTCTCGTTGTTCTTCGTTGCGTACCGACAGTCGCTTTTTCATTCCGTCCATGTGTTTGAGAAACGTCCTTTAGCTCTTTGAAAACGTAGCACAAAACGGTATCCGTGTCGTACCGACAGGGTATTACACGATCGGACTTTCGCCTCTTCTTTCAGTTTCCTCCCTTTTTCGTTCTTCCGTTTCTTCTTCCTTATCATCGTCAATCACTCGTGTCAAGCGACTCGATGTCTCGTCGGTGTTGTCCTCGACATCTTGGTGACTACTCGTCGATTTCCTCTCCCACACTCACGTTTCTGATCCCTCTCTTTCTCTCCCTCTTTCACTCTGGTGGCTCTTGGTGAGGAACTTGAGGCGAATAGAGCGTACACGACGCATTTCACTTCACTAATACGAAATAACTCATAGTCGCTTCTTTGGTATTACGTGCGAGGAGGGGCGGGTTGGGGCGCGGGGGTCGCTTCTATTCTCTTCTCCTCCTGAGGCATCCTGGCTTATGTCTACGACCGGCAACGGGTTCGCCGTTCCGCGGTACACGGTCTCGGTTATTTATTTATTTAAGTCTCGTATTATCCGTATTCAACGTCTCTGAATTGTGTGTGTAAAAAAACTGTACCTAATCTGTGTTTTTATGGCTTTCTTAGTTTTTTTTTTAAGAAAAACCGCTTTCCTCCTGTAGTACTAGCAAGAAGTAAGTAAATAGTATATAGCGATAATAGTAGTAGGTAGGTAGTAGGTAGTAATAATAGTAATAGTTGCAGTAGTAGTAACAGATATAACATAATATGTAATTGTCACTTAACTTCTCTGTATATTATTAATAACTTTAATATTAGATAGACTTTTTCTTCCTTCATTTTTTCATTTTAGATTAATCGGTTTATCGCTTCTCCCGCGCGTTTCACTTTCCTTTATTGTATTAAATCTTTAACCGTAATGCAATGAGGTAATAAGGTTGTGTGTGTTTTTCTTTTTTTCTATTTTTTTTCCCTTAAATCAGTTTGCTTTTTTTTCTCTCGTCGAAGTGTCCTGTTTCATTCGGCGGCGGTTGGTGGTTTCTCGTTAGCGCTGCGAAATTGGGTCGTCGTGCGCGGCTGTGTGTTGTCGCTTCGTCGCCGTCGCGGGGTTGGGGGTGCGCGCGCGCGCGCGCGCGCGGAGGGACGCAGGCGCGACGCGTAGAGCGAGGGGGAAAAACGCCACGGTCCTCGTCAACGAGGACGGGAGTCGACGTGGTTGAGAGTCAGCGATCGCGTACGGGCAGTGTCTGCCTGGGCAGCGCCTGATTCAATAATATACGCTCGGTGCACCTCCGATCGGTCGTGGCCTCTCCGCCCTCCACCTCGCCCACCGTTCCTTGGTGCCACGCGACCCGAGAATCGCAATCGTTTCAACCAGATGCCAATGCGACACTGATCACTCGCGACACGCGCGTCCCCGTTGTCGACAGGGACGCCTTACCTAAGATAAATTAATCATTCGCACGTGCATCGATCGCGATAAACGCGCCTGTGTCGAACCGAACGGAGGGCCCGCGGCCTCGTTGACTCTTCAGATTGACTCGCAACGGTCGAGCCTTGGAGTTAAAATCTTTGGAATTAGATATTCATCATTCGAATTCTCAGAATTAACTCTCCGAATTGTGGACTCGCCGAGCACTCCTGAGAATTCCCACTGCGATTCGCCGAGTTAGAACTCGTGGACTCGAACTGGTCCACGGAGCCTGAGCTCCGACAGGAACTGTTACTACCCAAGGATTATCTCGCAGTGTCGGGGAGTCCGCTACCCTCGTTGTTGGATCTCGGATCGAGTTAATTCTCAGAACGTTGCCGCGCGTCTTCCCGTCGCGATCTGCGCGTCGCGCACCCTCGTTCGAAAACCCTCCCCGTCGGGGAGGGTCGCGCGCGTCCCGCGAGAGGAGGAGGTCGCGATAAGCTCAGCCTCTCGACGAGAGAGAATGTCAAAGCGACGACGAGGCCACTCCGGCGAATGAAGCGGATGGGCGTTTGTGGCGTCGGTCCGCGTCAGGTCGGTGTCATCGATGTTAATGTTACTGCGGCGATGATGGCGGCTGCGGCTGTTGTTGCTGCTGCTGCTGCTGCTGCTGTTGGCTCGACGGCGAGCCGGCGGACTGCTGTTGGGAGCTGGACTGCGACGTCGTGCCGCCCTGGGAAGTGGCACTGCCATCTCTTTTAGAACGGGAGGCACCCTCCTGGCTGCTACCGCGACCGGCGCGGGTGCCAGTACCACCGGTTCCACCGGGCGTGCCCGATTGCAATACCATCGCCCGGATTCTTCTCTGTGCCGACTGCAAGAAAATATTTATATCAATATTCTTGTCGTGCTAAATTAATTATATTCATAAAGAACACACTTCACCCCCTTTTAATAAGAAAATTGTCTATGGATTAGCAACTTTCTAGTGCGCCAGTGATTAGTTATTTCTTTCAGTGAATTTAAAAACAAAATTAATAAGATTATTTATATAAGTATTTCATGACAGGCTAATCTGATGTATAAATAAAGATTAAGTATTTAAGTATCCATTTATAAAAGTTATTTGAAAAGCCAGTCTTACCTGAACAGAGAAGAAGGGACCGATTATGTGGACAGTTGTCTCCTCTTCGGCTGAAGGAGGAGTCGCTTGCTGTTCTGACAATTTAATAACGCTACCGGTCACGCGCTGTAGCTCCCTCACATTTTGTCCACCTTTGCCGATGATTCGGCCAACCTGAGTACTGGGCACGAGGATCTCGATGGTCAGTCTAACGTCTTCAGTGCCGGAGACGTATCCCTCCTCCCGCATCTTTTCGAAGATCAAATACTGGGCCTGAAATCGTAGCAGTGATAATGTATAAACGACGTATAGTGATTTTGATAATATACAAAATTAAATTCCTTAGTCATCTCGGAAATGAATTAGTATGAAACAACGGAAGGAGGGAAGAAAGATGTCGAAGGGTCAAACGGGGCCGATTCTCGCATGCTTTTGGTTCGACGAGATCGGTACGGGGCCCTTTCTTTAGTATTCCTGCTAGTATAAGTTGATGCATAGGTGACAACATTCAACAATTAGAAGCAGGGTAACCGCGAACGCACTATTGTGGACTTTAGAGTATTACACAATCTTTCCCACAGATGAACGGAGTTGGACTCACGACCTTTAGCAACGGTAGACTGATGCGATACCTATATGCCAATATAGTATCGACATTATGCGGATATTAAAACTCTTTAGACATTACTTTAGTATTATTAACAAAAGGCAGCGTCATAATTTACGTATTCAAGATGTGTTTCTTGTGATCCTAATGCGCAAAATCGCCGATCTAAACATTCGTGTGTGAAACTGAAGAAGTTACGAATCTCACTGACTGAGAGACCAAGGACTGAGTAACAAGGACGATCGCGCTTACCTTCCACTGAGATTCCGGGGAGCCGACGATGGTGACCTTCCTCTCAGTCTGTTGCTCGGCCGGCTTATCTTGTTCAAGAGGAGCGATCTTCACGCTTGCGCCGGAGAACCTGATTATGTTGCGGATGTGGGAGCCCTTGGTGCCGATGATGGCGCCTACGCTGTTGTTGGGAATGTAGAGAAAAGTCGTCTCCTGGGTGTCGCTGGCGGGGACGCCCTGTTGAGTAGGCAGGCTGCTCTGGTAGGGATACGGGGCGGGTCCCGAACCGTAGAGGCCGGGTCCGCGGGAGCTGTAGCCCATGCCGGCGGTGGACATCATGGCCATCGGGTGCAGGCCGGGGAACATCATGCTTTGAGGCTGGCGAGGATAATGATCATATCGATTAGAAGTCTCGTCGCGTTGCGCAACGTCGCTCTACTCGCGCTGGACCTTGACAAGGCCGACATTCAAATTCTTTCTGGGTCAATTGAAAGCTTGACGAAAGAGTTTGCTCGCCATTCCAATTTTTTTATAGCAAATATTTAATTAAAAGTTTTAAATTAATAATTTTAAATAGAGATTTGATGTAACAGTTACAAGTTATTATTGAAATACGTGTGAACGTGTTTGCATTTACATTTTTACAATTCTTTTCGTGTTTATATCTTTCCTACATAGTTTTGTTTAATTAACGGGAGAATTCCAGGGGAAATTATGTTTCGTTGTGCTAAGAAAAGACGAGGAACGTGCGACGGAACTTACAGCCATGGCCTGCAGATCGTTTTCGTAGCTCTGGCGCAACTTGCTGGAGATCATGGACTCGGCTTTGCTCATGTTATCGATCGTGCCCTTAACCGTGATGATGCGCTCGAGGTTGAAGCTATTGATGTCGTTGATACTGCTGACGGTGATCTTTGTATCGGTGTCCTGCATGATTCTCTTGATTGTGTTACCGCCCTTACCGATAATCCGACCGATGAGATTGTTGTGCGCGAGGATCTTCAGGGTGATCTCACTGTCGACAAGCAACGTAATAGTATAATTAACGTCGCCATTCAATTACCGGGGTGAGACAGCGATTCGATCGAACGACGTAAATTGAAAACTGTGCTTATATTGAGATCCATATGACCGTGAAAGTCAGTGTGCTGAAGTCGAATTAACGGTGCTTGGAAAAAGGAGCTTAAAATTTATTATTATATTTAATTATTTTAATAATATAGCTAATATAATATTTTTGATATAAACATATTTATATCTAATATCTGTCCGACGATGTATCGATTTAATTTCGAAAAGGACTCGAAAGCGACTCGCGAGACCGTACCCCTTGTTCGTATTGTTGGCCTCCTGCTGCATGACTTCCAGGATTTTCTTGCAGGCGTTGGTGCAGTTCTCGGGGTTGCCGTAGATGGTGATAGCCTTCTCCAGAGAGCCGACGTTATCTTTGCGGTGTACATCGACCCTTGCACGCGTCATCTGCGTGATCTGCCGTATGGTAGAGCCCTGTCGGCCGATTATCGCGCCCACCATATCGGACTGGACCAAGATGCGCAGCGGAAAGTCGGTTTGCCGCCCAGAACCCGGCAGCCCAGAGAAGACTGTGCCGCCGCCGCGCTGGCTGCGGCCCCTGCGTCGGCTCTCCGCCGAGGACATCTCCACTTTCAGCGGATTGCCGTCGAAATCGTAGCCATTTAACTGGTTCACAGCCCTGCGGAAAGAGATAGATCGTTGAGCGTGCCATCACCCGCGAATTCCTAAAGTTCTAACGCGAATGTCTACGAATGCGAGCGTGCCGATTACGTACTGCTGTACTTGCTCTTGCGTCTCATAGCTGATGAGCAAGCTCTGTGTATTTGGGTCCCGCGACGGCACTTTCTCGATGTTCTGGACCTGGCCGTAATTGGAGAACAGCAGGTCCAGTTCCTCTACTCGTATCTGAGCCGGTAGATTGCTCACGAGGACCTTGGCGACCCCGCTACTGCTGGAAAACAGGAAAATCCAGGATTAGGCGACATGTACGAACAGATAGAAGTAACACGGCACTGAGCAAACAATATTTTATATTACAACGTAACACACGCGCGCGCGCGGTTCTCAACTAATATCCGATAAAGATGTTAATATCGTTAGGAGCAACGTAACGAGTGTAAAAGATACTCCAGTACCGCATTGTGCTTATCTCTTGCATCAATTCCAATTGGTCCTGACTAAGTAGAGATTGTAAGTGAAGGAAGAGAGCGGCCATGTAAGTGACAAACTCGAACGCGACTGACAGAATTACACGGCAGCAAGCAAGATTCCAACGGTAATCGCCGATAAACTTTGAAAGCCGAACTGTAACCCTGGCGGGGAGTCGTCGGCTGTTTACAATACATCGCGTTTATGTTGTTGCCTTACAACATAACGAAATACATCCGTTGACGCGTATCGCCATCGGATAATATTAATATCAAGCTTTGTATGCTTATCAAGGTATTTATATATTTATTTGTTATTATAAATTAGTTTATTATTCTAAAACTAATTGTACACACGAACATTATAGTATTGGACAATAGGTCGGACAAATATTACGGTATTTCACAACGGATGAGAAACGAAATACGTACGAAATGAGGTAAACGAAATTTCACGCGTTAAATAATGATCGTATAGAATATACAGAATGTACAGGAATATTTTTTCCCTGAGGAAAAACGTTTCTTTGGAAACTCGATTGGGTATCGTCTCTTTAATGTCCGATTTGAGCAATGAAGAAACTTGGTTTCACGGAAGATTTTGTGTATTTACTGGATCCTCTTGCCTCTTTACCGTTTACATCTTTTCTGACGATTAATCCTAGAATTAATTCTTATTGTTTATTAATTCTTAACTTCTCGTTGCTCCAGTACATCGTGCATCATGACTGATAGTTTGGAATCAATAGAAAGGATAATTATTATCACAAAGATCCTCTGAGGATCTTGGATGACATATCGAAACAAATATTTCTGCGCGAGGTGCGGTTAACGCGGCGCGGTTAAATTTCATTTTAGCCGGCTCTGCGTACTTTGTTCGAGCTTGCACGAGCGTGAACTGGTGCTTGCGCGTTTAGGTGCATCGGCGCGGCCGCCACGGCGACATGAATGAACCAAACGGCAAGTAAGAAGAGTACGCGGAGCGTGAAGAACAAAAAGGAGGGTGGAACGACCGAGGGAGCGACTCTCACTTTCGTACGTATCGATTTTTCAGCGGGCCGACCCACTCTCATCGACGATGAGCCGCGGCGAGCTTTCGAGCAACCTTGAAGAAGACGCGGTGGACGATTGTCCAGCGCCTGCCCGGCTCCTAGGGTTAACTCCATGTACTTTCGTGACACAGGATGGATCGCGCGATCGACCTTGCGTAACCTGGATTAGCTACGAATATATGTATTAACGACTCATAACTGACTATAATTTCTTTGTCCTTTAATTTTACACTAATGACTGCGTAATTCTCTGCTAAAATTCAACTTGTAAATCCATCCATGCGTTAAGGTTGACGATAATTTTTATGTCCTTTAATTGGCTACTAACGACTGCGTAATTCTATGTAGACATTTAACTTGCGAATCCATCCATGTATGTATTAAATCGAACTTATCTGTTTTATACTGAGGACGGTCCATTAAGGACCGAAACGTTTATATGCTTTTATAATTAAAATTATTTTAGTGGACACTATAACCTTGTTCAGGCTCTGAGCCCCCTTTTTATTACTTGATTTCATCACACGAGCCACTGTTATGAATATGTTTCTTGTTAAATGTAATAGATCACAAGTCGGGAAATAACAGTCAAGGTACTTATCGTGGAAATGTTCGGAAGAGATTCCAATCGGAATTATTCCATTTCCCCTAGAAAAACACAATAGAAGTCTAGGAAATAGTTGAACAATTCCGAACATTTCCACGATAGGTCGAAATTAAAATTCCGCAACGACTGGTCGAGAAACAGCGCACTTCTAAATGCTATCGAATGTTTCCTCATTGAGAAAGTTCTACATACATTTCGACACGCTTGTATGTACGTGCTCCGTAACTGCATTGTTGAGACAAATTGGAAACGTCTATTAAAAATAAATGTAGGCTGACGTTCCGACATTGACGTGTCGAGAATTTGTATTTTTGTTTCTGCATAATTCATTGGGAGCGACGTCAATGATGTTTACTGTTTTCTTGAAATATAATATATCAAATTGAAGATCTCTCTCTTCGTGTATTGTAAAAATAATTTATGAAGGAAGCGAAATGTGCTCGATACACGCAAGATGCATCGTCCGGCTGCGATGCACTTACGTGCAATGAGGGGTCATTCCATATTAATATTATAATTCCCGTTGAATTCATGAGCAACCGCGGTGGCATGAATTTATTTATTCAATCGACAAATTGAGGCTCGATAGTGTTGCAATATCGATTTTCACTCGTTTAATTCGCGAAAGTAACGCTCGTAAGTAAAGTGCGTGCAACCATGTCAGACAAAAATGCAGCGACAAGAGAACTAGTGCGGGATATCAAAGTTCATTCGCATCTTTCCTAATCAAATTTATTAATAATTGAGGATCCAAACATTTTCTCTACCTCTTCAAGCCGTGAAAAAAATCTCAGAGACCTGGAAAATATATTTATTACTAATCACGCAAGTAGAATTATATTTGGAATGAACTTCTCTTAAATACCGTTTCTGAGGCGAACCTTTTAGATGTGTATTAGACTTACATTCAGGCTAAAACTATATTACTGAGGAAAACCAACGACAAATTAAGCGCGCATTCGCAAAACTAAGGAATAAAAAGGGGTACAGAAGGGGTGGAGGAGACAAGGATGCACTAAATGCGCGGGCGCTCGTATACGCGAGAGAGAGAGAGAGGGGGGGGGGGAGAACGGGAGAGATGCAAGCGGCGAGCAACGCGGGGGTGGCCTTTGTTTCGCGGACTTCCCTTTGGGGGATTTTCGGCGGTATCCATAATAAAGCGCGAAGAGTGCGTGCACCGGCTGCCTCGTGGTTCCCACGGCCCACCACCCACCGGAGGACTCCCTGCCCCCCCCTTCCCTTGGACCGTCCTCTCCCTCCCTTCAACCCTTTTGCACGCACGTGTGACTCGTCGGCGATTTCGTCGGGTCACCTTTAACGAAAGGCGGCGAGTTTTCGCGAGGCTAGGGAGACGAAAGGAGGACGAGCGGCAAGAGGGGGAGAGGGCATCGGGAGGGAGGGAGGGAGGGAACGAGAGAAAGAGAAAGAGAGGAAGAGGGAAGGAGAGCCTTTGCGGACAGGGATGGATCGCGGCGGGATCACCCCCGTGGAAGAGCTTTTGATGTCCCGGCCTAAGACACCTTTTTTTCGGCCACTCTTTTTCTTCCATCCGTCCCACTCTCTCTCTCTCTCTCTGGCCGCCCTCGTGGTTTTTTCTGCCGTTTAACGAGCCGCTGGAGCGAGCACGGTGGTCGAAGTGCTGAAGGGAAAGGAGAGGTGGGAATGAAGAATGGATATAGAAAGCGCGCGGGCGAATCGACCGAAAATTTTGATAATGTCGCTAACGCGATGCGGACAAAGGATCGTCTCGCGAAGGGAATCGAGGAATTGCTGTTTTTGAACAATAGCGTTATATCGGCACACTCGCGACGCAGCGAACCAATTTCTCGATGGCGCGGTTTTGATAAGCCGCGGGTGGTCTCCGGTTGTAATTTGCTCCTTTCGAGAAAACCTTTCGAGATTCTCAGGACTGAAGCGGGACCGCGTGCGCTCGGGGATCTTTCAAGAGCGAAACAAGGAAATGAATTGGGCGATTGCGTATATAAATACAGCCCTGCATGAAGAACCGTCGACGTCGTCGACTTGCGCCGTCCGGACGCACGGCGCCAAAATCGATCTTGAAAAGGGAAAGTGCTAGCGGCGTGACTTCACACACACACACACGAACGCGCGTGCGCGCACGCCCGCGCACACGAGAAAAACCGCCGCGTGGAAGCGGCCGCTGGCCAAGGGCGTTCACATATTAAAATCCAGGAAGTCCCCGCAGTACGGCACCCCGTCCCTTTGTCATTCTTGTCAGAACGAGACCGACGCGTTACGTACAAAAAGCGACGACTCGAGATGAAACATCTCTGCTGACATCTTCACCGCCGAAATTAGAAATTTCTTTTATCTTGTCCGCCGATACATTGTGGGCTACAATATACGTACAGAGAGAAAGAGAAAAGGTAAGGTACATTCTGTCAATTGCTCGGTTAATAAGCTATTAGGAGCCACTTAATGAATAAGTTTCTTGAGTAAAGTAATATTTTTTTGGATAAGATATTTTTTTATCAATGCACTAATGGCCAGTGGGCATTACTTTATCTTATTTGCCGTGTTTTATCTTATTTTATCTTTATAATGCCCCAAAAATGCCTAGTAATGCCGCAAATCTGTACACCACGATGCCCTTAGCGGTTTTCCCCTCGATTTTTCCTACTGGATTGTTTAAGCGAAAGCAGTTCAGAATTTAAGCCAACGGCACACGATACTATTTTTCCTGCTGGATTACTTGCGAGAGCCAATCGGGAAGTAGAGTTTTCGATCAGGTGACTTGAGGCTAAATCCTAATTGGCTCTCGTAAACAATCCAGTAGGAAAAATAGTATCGTATGCCGTTGGCTTAAGATTAAGCTCTTCTCGGGGTGCCGTTGGCAGGCATTTCTCACATATATCTTTCACGGATGAATTCATACGACGACTTTATCTGTTCGAAAAATTTCAACGGTGGCTCTTACAGCGTTAGAATTATTCTTCCAAGTGATAGATTCGGTTGTTGACTGATATTTACTAAAGAATTACGTGTCTTAGGTGGATCAGTGGATCCAATAAGTTTCCAAAGTATTTGTGCTTTAACGAGTTACCGATCTTTTTTCTTTTAGAAACAGAAGGACACGTCGGTCTAACGCGACATCGCTCGAGAACCGTCTAAACGGTATCTGAAA